ATATCTTGGAATAAATTAAATAAAAATACAGATATATAAGAAATATATCAAACTGTTTATTGTTTTAAAAATTAGACAATGTTTTTTTTTTAATTACACTATTTTCTCATAAAAAAACAATTATTCATCTACTAATCTTCATTATTCCTATAAAATTCTTTTATTTCTCCTAATCCAGATCGCAAGTATTTGAATCGCAGTCATCGATATCGCTATTAGGGTTAATTATAATAAAAATAATTTCCAATCTATTAAAAAATCCCTCTCTGCCAATATGTTTATTATTATATTGCTTAGAAAGGTCACAAATAAGTTCAATGGAGTTAAAAATAAAATGGCTGGGAAGATTACGTAATACTTTGTCTATACTGTTCTGCTTAGGTAATTATCTACCATATATTTCTTTGGCGGTTTGCACCTGAAAAAAGAATGTTTTATTTAGTTCTATTTAGTTGCCATTTCGTATAACGTGTGTCAATATCACTATATTCTAAACTGTAATATCGAAACAACACATTATATCAATGATTTAATGTTAGGTACACCGTTATATCAAATCTTGTAACTTCATTTTTAATTTTTTGATATTGTTTTAAAGTTTATTTCTGAAAAAAAAGGCATTTTTGGGTGTCACTGTACATCTTGAAAATGTGTAAAACATGTAGATGTTTATTGACCACTGTAATCAAATTTTTCCAATTAAATTGTCTTTATATGATTGCTAGAATAGCGTATCTACCATTAAATCTTGCAATATGATGTGTCATTTCAATATTAATATTTTTTTTTACTTGATTTACACAATTACTGATACCTTAATTTGCTTCAAATTTGGTTTTATCTCTTGCCATCGATTTTTGTAGGTCTAACACCCTTTGTCATTATTTTCCCAGGAGCTGTTTAATGTTTCATTTTGAACGATACATGTTTCAGATCTTGTCAAATACACGAACTATTAAACATTTGACACATGCTTACTAGATTCAAATTTAGAAATATTGAATATTGTTTAGAAGCAAATGTCTGCAACATCGTTTATTTTAGCTCCATAGAAGGTTTTTACCTTTTTAAATAAAACTGAGCAGAGAATTAAAAAAAAAATTTAAATTTAAAAAAGTTTGTTCTAGTGGCGTAACAAAATAGGGAAGAAAATTGCCACTATCCTTAATAGCGCGGCATGGGTTAAATTGTTCAAAAGTTACTTTTATGAGCCCTTTAAGAGTCCATGTTCCTATATCCAAATTCATCAATTAACGAGAGCTCTGGAGTAGATCGTTGTTGGTTGAATATAATATTGCCTACTTGTTATATTTTCATAAGCTAGGGAGAAAGAGTTATTGTTTGGATTGCTTTATAATAACCCATAAATGCCTTAGGGCAGTGGTCCGCAAGCCCAGAGCTATGGACCGGTACGGGTCCGTAACTCAAATGGTACCGGGCCGCCCAAGGAACATTCAATTATTTCCATTTTATTTACTGTGGTGTATTTCTCTTGAGAGGTTGGCCAGGAGCTGATTGTACCAAATTTCAAAAACTTTATATTGTTGAAGAGAGAATTAAAATCCCTTTTAAACAAGTTACCATACGGCCCCCTTTCTCATTTAAAATGTTCTAGGGTATACTCATATTTCTGATGGGGTGCAGAAGGTCGTAATATTTGTATACTCTAAATTATCAAATTAAGAATAGAAATCGACCTACTTTAGGTTTTTTCCAAAAGTACATATTACCGCTAAAATGAATGTATTCCATACGTATGGACCCCCACAGTATTTGCTTTTACACAATCATTCATTTTTTCAAACAATAAATAATTTTTGATCATCTTGTTATACATACATAAAGTTGGAGGGCACTTCAATTCCAAATCCTACCTATGGGTAGGTGCAGGATTAGAAGCAAGTCTCAATAAAGACGTAGATGAGGAGCTGCTTACCAAAATCATCAAAGCCAGATGCAAAAAAATGAAAAAATGGGCCGAAATAAGAAGCCTGTCTACTGGTGGACAGAACAGGCAGCAGAGAAACGGAAAATATGCTTGCAAGTTAAAAAAGCCATGACTAGGGCAAACAAAAACAACAATCCAAACCTAAAGTGAGAGGGTATGGAAAGATATAGAGAAAACAGGACCATCCTAAAGAAAGCTATTGCGGAATCTAAGAAGAATGCATCGAAGAAACTGATGAAAGAAGTGTACCTGGATGTATGGGGTAAAGGGTATAAAATAGTCATGAACAAATACAAAGACAACGCTCCCAGAAAGTGGGAAAGAATTGACAGTAACGAAAGACATACCTCCCTTTACAAAGGACGATCTGCTAGAAGCCAATGATAGGTTAAAGGAGAAGAAAGCCCCGGGTCCTGATAGCATACCTGCAGAGATGGTGAAGGCGGTAGTTAAAAACCACACACGATATAAATTCTGGAGATTCTTAACAGATGTTGGCAGAAAAAACTTTCCCTAAAGCAGCGTTACTCAAAGTGTGGTCCGCGGAGCCCTGGGGCTCCGCAAAGCTTTTGTAGGGGCTCCGCAAAGCTTTTGTAGGGGCTCCGCGAAGAAAATAATAGTCATAATAAAAAAAGCAGTACTATCGCTACAAGAAGGAGTGACTTGCCTTGAGGACCTTTTTTTTATCGCTACAAGAGAAAGTGACTTGCCTTGAAAACCTTTTTTTATCGCTACAAGAGGGAGTGATTTGCCTTGAGGACCTTTTTTTTAGAAATATTTATAAATGTGTTTAGGGCTCCATCAAATATTTCGCATTTCAAAAAGGTTCCGTCGCCAAAAAAGTTTGAAAACCACTTCCCTAAAGAATAGAAAGTAGCAAAACTCGTACTCCTAGAAAAACAAAACAGGACAAAAAATGAACATATCTGTTCTATATGTACTTGCAAAATTGATGGAGCAACTCCTCTTAGGAAGGTTGAAGAGGGAAATAGAGAGAAACGGTGATTTGGCTAGTGAACAATACGGTTTTCGAGAGAACAGATCAACCATAAGACATTATGAAAAAAGTTCAGGAAATAGTAGACGAGGCAAACGAGAGAGCAGACAGAAAAAGGTATGCTTTCACCACAATAAATGTCAAAAATACCTTCAATTCAGAAACCGAGGTGTAACCCCCACAATCATAACCTAGGGGCCAGCTACCTAGGAGACAGGTGGCTCCTCATAGGGATAGAAGGAAAAATGAGGATGACGTGTGGAGTACCACAAAGCTCTGTTATAAGACCAATGTTATGGAACGTGTATTACGATGGCATCTCAAAACTCCCGTTACCACGCGAGGTGAAGTTAGTAGGCTATGCGACAATGTAGACGAAGTAGTGACGAAGAGGCGAAAAAACTGCAAACAATAGCAAATAAGGTCCTAGAAAATGTTACACAATGGTTAACAGCAAAAAGAATAACCCTAGTCTCACAAAAAAACTGAGATAGTTATCTTAGCAGGAGGACGGAACCTCAAGGAAATCAACGTTAGAGTGCAAGACGTAAGAGTAACGAGCCGAAAGGAAGTCAAACATCTTGGAGCAACTTTTGACCATAACATGAGAATGGGACATGTCAGAAATGTGACTAAAAAAGCGGAGAGGGCCATAGCAAATATTAGCAGGATTCTACCCAACACTGGAGTACCACGAGAACGAAACCGGAGAATTATGTGCAGCGTAGTACTTTATGGGGCAACGATATGGAAACGAGCCATGAAAAAAAAAATATACAGTAATTATTTTTTCGTCTTAGGACTAGAATATAAGTTAATAAAATGGCAACAGGGCAACAGCCAGTCGTTGACTGAAATAAGAAGATATGGTGGTGGAATATTAGCCGAACCGAATGTCAGTGACTAAACCAGAGTGTATAGCGACAGCGGGGATGTCGTAGTTGTCACTAATATAAAATAATAAGCTCTGTATATATTTATAGGAATACTCTCCTAAAAGTTTAAAGAAAAATGGCAATCAAATTTACCTGCGCATACCGAACGACATCAACAGATGCATTATGGATCATCGCCTATACATCTATTAGTGGAACAAAGATGCGATAAAACAGTGGCCAGTGACCACACAATTCAGAAATGGCAACAAGAATGACAACAAGAAACCTATAAGTCATTGGTCGAAAAGGTTAATACCGAACATTGAACCATGGGCTACAAGAAATCAAAGCGAGGTCTCATACTACCTCACACAGCTAATCTCCGAGCATGGGTGTTTCCAGGCATAATTATATAGGTTCCACGTCCCAGAGAGTAATGAATGTCATTACTGCAGGGAAATAGACACAGTAGAGCACACATTTTTCGAATGTCAAAGATGGAGCAATGAAAGGCCGATGCTAGGGAGCACGATTGGGGTTATAAATCCTGAAAATACAGTCAAAAAAATGTAAACCACAACAACTGGAATGATATAAGCTACTTCGCAAAGGTACTTGCAAGAAAGAAGCCGATGTCAGACAGAGGGAGAGGAAACAATGGAGCAATGAAAGGCCGATGCTAGGGAGCACGATTGGGGTTATAAATCCTGAAAATATAGTCAAAAAAATGTAAACCAAAACAACTGGAATGATATAAGCTACTTCGCAAAGGTACTAAGCAAGAAAGAAGCCGATGTCAGACAGAGGGAGAGGAAACAGACACAACAACAGAAGCAATGCCGGAAGGCAGTCCCTAGTAGACCACAAAAAGGCAGTGGAGGGGTTTTAGTCGAAGTTGCGCTCGAGACTACCAAACATATTGACCCAGTGTTCGGTACCAAGCGGTTTCCCATCCACAGGAAAAAAACTATCGGTGAAAAATTAATCTTGCCCTCCACTAAAGACATTTGCAGAGAACTTCTAGGAGAGGCTGCTGTGGAAAAGATAGCACATGTACCTTTGACGACTAGCACTGTAACTAGGCGCATTGAGGAAATAGCCGAAAACACTCCAGGTTGACGAATCTACAGATATCGACAAAAAGACAATACTTGTTCATGCGCCATATATATACCAGGAGGATGTGCATGAGGATTTGTTATGTGCACTATCTTTGCCAACCAACACCACAGAAGCACAACTGTTCAAGTCACCCGATGGTTATATCAAGACAACTAAAATGGTCCTGTGTCAACATTGTACAGACGGAGCGGCTGCCATGACTGCTGGTTTAACTGCTCGGATTAAGGAGGTTGCACCTAACAGTAAATCTTCGCATTGTGTCATTCACAAGGAAACGCTGGCAAGCCTTAAAATGTTACCGGAATTTAACAGCATATTAATTGATGCCGTTAAAGTTATTAACCACATTAAAGCACACGCCCATAACTCGCGCCTGTTTGATCAGCTTTATAAGGAGATGGAGGCTGAGTACAGCTGCCTTCTCTTGTACACAGAAATAGGATGGTTATCCAAAGGAAAATGGCTAAGCAGAATATTTGAATTACGAGAGCCTTTACAAAGATTTCTCTCAGAAAATTAGTAGCAAAAATGGCTTGCCTGTGTGACATATTCAGCCTGCTTAATGAACTCAATTTGTGCCTTCAGGGGAAAATGACAACGTTTTCAAGTTGGCAAATAAAGTAGATGCATTTAAATCCAAACTGGAGCGTGAACCGAGGCATTTTGGACATGTTTCAGATATTAGTGGGGATTTTAGGCAAGACTGAGCTTAAACATTCATTATCCCAGTTGGCGCACGATCACCTATTTTTGCTTTTAAAAGATTGAGCGCTACTTTCCAACCACGAACTGGTAAGAAATGGATCCGCGACCCATTTGTCGAATCTAGCATATCTGTGTAAGAAGATCAACTGTTGGATATTGCAAATAACTGAAGCCTTAAAACTAACTTCGATACATTAACTTTGCCGGTGAAGTCTTGGGGGAATACCCTGAAAGTTCCACCACAGCACTGAAATTCCTAATGCCATTTCCAACAACCTATCTGTGTGAAGCGCGGTTTTCTATAGTGACAGCAACCAAAACAAAACAACGGAATAAACTGGACACTTCGGGTGTCATTCTCCTATTGTCCGCAGATAAAATCTTCACAAGCTCAGGGTTCTCATTGATCTAGCGTTCTAGTGAGTTAAAATGTTAAATCATTTTATATTCCTTTCTTGGTGTACCTAACTGTATTTTATTTTGAAGGCATGTTTAAATACAAAAAAAAAATATATTCATTTTTGGTGTAACTATTTTATTTTTAAGGCATATTTAAATACAATTAAATTAAAATTATTAAATCAAAACAATCTAAAATATAAACAGCGGGCCGCGGTAAAATTATTAAACGTTGACCGGTCCGCGGCGATAAAAAGGTTGGGGAGCACTGCCTTAGGGCGTCGATTGGTATATAAGTGAATGTTTTTGACTCATGTACCGACGACGGAGATTTTTTTAATGCAAAAATGGTAGAAAACATTAATAGATGTTCATATTGATTAAGTGGATAAAAAAACGAACGAATGCAGCTGAAAAAAAAATTGTTAGCTCTGTGTGATACCAACCAACAATATTGGCGGCTAACGTGTTAACAATTTCCTGTTACAGATCCAAATTGATGACAACCAAAACTATCGATTTAACATTATTGACGTTTTTCAGATAATGTTTCTCCAAACTATCTAATATTCAGATGTATAACTTAAAGGAATGAATATGTTGAATCACAGAATTTTAATAATAAACAAAGCAAAGTCGATAAATAATTGATAATTAAGTACAAGAACAATACTCTTGAAACATAAACTATTTAAATAAAGCAAATAAAACAAAACAAAAATGTAAAATTAATAATAAACGACAATTTTATAAATTAGAAATTAATTATACCTACATATTTACAATAATAATATTATGAATAATAAATAATGTGTATACACATGACCACATTTTTGTAAATATCACTAAATAATCACTACGTTTGGTACTTGAGCTGATAATCTAAAAGCAAATCTGAACAATTTGTTAATAACTAATTTCCCAAGATCAAACCATAAACAAAACAAAAATATAATAAAATATTAGGCATTCCAAAAAAATGAATTGCCAGTGGGCAGGTTTGGTAGATCTGACGATTGCGACATACGATGAATTCTATCTACAATACGTAAAATCATGAATAATGGATTACATTTAAATATTTTATATCGAACACTATAAAAATAATAATTAAAAAAAAACTGCTTGTACATTTTTTTAAGAACTGGCAGGATTGGCGAATGATATTTCGAATAAAAATAGCGTCCAAGATGCAAGACTATGTCGCTACCCCCTTAGATATACTAGACCTTCCCACTGGCAGGTATTGTTTGACAGGTCGTTGGAATGCCTAATTGTAAACACATACTTTAGAATAAACAACAAAAAATTATGTCAAAATGACCTATCTAAAGTGATGTATGTCAAAAAGCCACTTTTCAGGATAGGCAATAAATGTTTCATTTTAGTTGCGTGAAACCAACAAAATTATGAGTAAATACCAATAAAAAAAAATAGGAAGGCGTTTGGCTAATTTTGAACGCGAAACAGTTAGACGAAGGAGTATTTTACTTCATTAAATCCAAATTAACGGAAATCAACTAAGTAAATCAAAATGTCTATCGCACTGAAACTATTTTTCTTTAGAAAACCATTCAGATTTGCATTAAAGCTAGACAGAATACTTTTAAAAAGCCAACGCTACCACTCACAGCGCGATCAATCTAGTTTTGCTGTCTTTCCATCGGGCCTGCAGCTTCTTGTGTTCCTCCATTTCCTTTTCGGAGATGTGCCTTACCTGACCGCCCAATTTTCTCGGATCCAAATTGGCTCCGATGTTCTGAACGCCCTTAGCCAACTTGGTAAAAGGCGACATGACCTACAAAGAAATATAAATTATTCGCATGTATATTTCTTCGGCCACCCACTAAAGAAAATCTAGTTTTACTTACAAAATCTTTCGCGGCAGGGCCCATAGGACTCATCGCGTTCAACGTCTTCAAAGCGGACTCGCTCTGTGACTGGGATATGTTCAATGGAACATCATAATCGGACGTCGATCTTTCAATTTTCTTACTGTAATCGACCATATCGCTGACCTCCACAGACGATCTGCTCTTAGTGCTCTTTTTATCCAACGATAACGTACCAGGCGGGGTTTTCTTGACGGTATCGTCCATGTTTTCGGAGTTTATCTGGATTTCCGGTGCCGGGCTAAGGCCGGAACTGATAGAAACGCTCTGCATAATGCTAGATAGTTGGATGTCGTCCATATGCGAAGAATCCGCTCTGCTTAATAGATTATGCCTTTGTTCCAAAATGCCTTCGATGTCCGTCGTTAAATCGGTTTTGTTTCCCATCACTATTCCTACGCCGGGCAAGAAAGTGTCTACTTTTGGAGGTAAACTCATCGCTTGTTCCGTTGCTTCCAAGCCTAAGAATATTAAAGAACCTTAAATGTATTAAAACCATTGACATATTGCATATCTGTAAAGGTGCGTCCTCACCGAATCAACACTGCCGATCGACTCTGTCTATCGACATTGTTGATCAACAAGTCTACAAAACTGCATCTGTCCACACCAGAGTTGACAGAAATGTTTGTCGATCAGTCGAAATTAACATGTCTGACGAAGATTACATTATAGTTGCTTGTGCCGCATATATTATTCTCACGACTAAAAAAAGAAAACTTGCACGCAAAAGAAGTCTTCAAAGTAGAATTAGATACAATGCTAGTAATTTAATAGAAGATTTAAAAAAGATGACAACATATTGAGCCTTGAATACAGGTGTAGGTTTTAGAAATTTTTTCGAATGTCGGAAAGTGAATTTGAATATTTATTACAAGAAATCGGGCCAACAATTTGTAAAGAAGACACCAATTATTATATCGTTATGATTTTTATCAACTGGGGATTCGTACCACTCACTAATGTATCTTTTCAAAATTTCAAAACAGGCGATTTCCAAAATTTCTAATTTTTGTTCTACCGCTTGCTTCTCGACGTTACATTCATTAGCAATTTCCATAAAAGCATCGTGCCTCAAGTTTCTGCTCTTATAGTTTTTGTTTTTAGAATCCCATAGATTTGTTCTCAGTTTGTATGCCTCAATAAAGACTATGACTTTATCTTGTTCCCATTCCATTTTTCCAACGAAAATACAACAACAATGTCAACAAGGCAAGACGTTACTGAGTACTTAGTACTCAGTACTAACAGTTTGCCGAATGTCGAACGTCGAAAACACGTCCACATACTAAAGTCGATCCACTGCTCTTTCATGTTTACCGACAGGCGATGGAAAACAAATCGACATGTCGATCGATTTATTTTGTCGATCGATACCGTCGATTGCTGCGTACACACAAAGTCGACAACGTCGATAAACAGAGTCGATCGACAGTGTTGATTCGATGAAGACGCACCTTTAGACTCCCCAGTATTAAACCAATGTATTACTATTAAAGGAGATGATCTTGACTTAATAGATAAGTATAATGATGATGTTAATAACTCTTTTTTAGAAATTTCAAATAGCAAAAACGATACAACATAGAAAATTAATCTTTTATTATGTATATTAACGCTCAAAGTCTTCCAGCTCATATTGATGAGATTAGGAATTAAGTTGAAATAAAAAACCCTTACTTGTATGTTACAGAGGACATTCAATTCTGAAATTAATATTAACAATTATGTAGTCCATAGGACAGACAGTAATAGCAGACATACAGGTGGAACTGCAATATATGTGTAGATTCTAAGTTAAAAATAGTTCATGTGCATGGATATTGTATTGAGGTGTTGTAAATAACTGGAGTGTTCCTTTTATTCCAAAATTAAAACTATTTGGTGTACGTATTGTATACGAGCCCAGAATCATATCATTTGGCCCATTCAATATTATATATTTTATTTTATTTTAGACATTAGTAGATACAAAAAAAATATCTATTAAATCCAACTATCTTTATTATAATTTGAGACATGTTTATCAACATTTTTTAATAAAATTAATATTAGAAAATTATAGACATGCACACACCTGTCAGATTAAAACAAGAAAACCGACAATTCCGAAGCAGAAGCGGATGATTAAAACGCACCTATTAAAAATATTGCGCCAAGATGTAGGCAACACGTAATAAGGGTTCAAAATGGCGGAGTTTTATATCTCTTTTTAAAAGGCACTCAGAAAGCTGCGCAGTGCGACCATTCTCCGTATAGTAAAAGAAAATCAAAGTATGTGTTTACCACTCACCATTTTGTTAACATTGAATACTTACAACCCCGGTGAATGAAATTTTACAGGTGTTTCAACTCTTTTTAAAATATGGCACCAAAAACTGCATGGTACATAAAAAATCCACCAGATGTCGGTAGAAGGTGAAGTACCTCAAATGAAAACAAATAATGACTGCGAACTGTCAGAAAATTCAGTTAATTATATCTTTATCGAGTAAAAAATACGTCTGTATCCAATTTTTTTTAAAATTATGGTAATTTATTAATGTCTACTAATCATACTCTATGTAAGAAACGAAATGGAAAGTGAAAACGAGAAGAAAAATACTATACCTCATACTTATAATAATAACGACCCATATATTTCATCAAAACAAAGTGAGAACATTACTATTTTTCATCATTTTTAGTGAACATGACAACAATAATTACAAAATTGTAACTTTTTTGAAATAGATTTTGAAAAAATAAGTGTTAAGTACCATTTTGATGTTATGTTTACAGCAGAGTAGGTATTAAATTATAACTGCCACACTTTAGATAATTAATAAACACATTCCAAAGATACATGCTTATTTTGTTACCAGTCCTAAACAATTTCACACGGAGGGATCTCCTAATTGCAATACAATGTGGTTCTTACAAGGCAAATTGATGAAAAGGGTAGGTACAAAAATTATCTGTAAACCTTAATTATCTATATGAATAAGTGTTGTAATAAATTTTTTATTATATATAAACGCAGAGGATTGTTTTCAATAGATTCATTAATTTATATTACTTTAATTATTTACAAAATAAAACAAAGCTTTGTAGGTGTAACTACACACAAATTGATAAAGAAAAACGAAGGAAAGGTAGGTCTTTTCAAGTGTGGAAATTTTATTAGTATTCGGCAAGAGCTTGCATTGTAAAAAAAGAACAAATTATTATCAATCATTCCATTCTTGTTTACATTTATAATATACGGATGTCTTGACAGCCGAACTGCTGATTCTAATAAAGTGTACACACATACACATTTAAAAAGTTGAAAAATATCTTTATTCGTTTCTTTTCTTTATCTACAATATTAAAGCTTATAACAGCAATTACTATCGTTTTTATTATTTTATTTCTACATCGTCCACTTCTACTTTTGATATCTAAATTAAAATTTAACATCAGTACATCAAGGTAGATCATTCATATCTAAGATCAACAATAACTACAATAAAGATGAAAGAAGCATTACTTTAAACTAACAACAATAAATAATATTGCAAAATTATTAGTTATAAATAAAATACAATTATATGTGTTCGTAAATGTACCTAATATATGTCATGCTTCGTGAACAATAGTATAATAACCTGTCAGATGATTGACCAATCATCTGATGGCCAGATCTTGAAGTATATACTTTATCTAGCTCTTATAATGGTCAAACGAGTACCTCGCCTTGTGTTTGGTGCCACATCGTCTTTTGTTTGTATATGGGATTTTAGGGAAGTTGAAACACCTGTAATAATTGTCTTTCATCGTGCTTACAACTAACTGCTGAAGTGTCACTGTCAGCAATCAACAATTGAGAAATGTTTTTTGTTAACTTATAGCTAATATGATTGTAAAAAAGCTATTTTTAATACATGGGCCAAACGAAATGATTCGTTGGTATCTTATTTAATTAAGTATTCGGTGCATATCTCTAATTTTCTAATATTAATTTTAATAAAAAATGTTAATAAACATGTATCAAATTATAATAAAAATAGTTGGATTCAATAGATTTTTCTTTTGTAGTTACCAATGTTGTCTAAAATAAAATTAAAAATATAATGTTGAATGGGCCAAATGATATGATTCTGGGCTCGTAGATCTCCAAATAGTAATTTAAAAAAAAAGTCCTGGGATATAAAAAAATGTCCAGGAGATGGTTTTGTTTGACATGTTTGTCAGGGTATTAAAAACAGGCAGAATACATTTTTTATAACAAGGGGAGTGCATTCAAGAGTTGGATTTCGTACGTTCTTGAAAACTGCGTTTCATTGTCGATGAAGACCTTTGCGATAACATAGGTTAAACCAAGTGATGATTTTCACAAGCCTTGATTTTTAAAACCATTTTATATCGCCTTTTGATTAGGGTTTAAAAACTTGTTCGAGCAATTTATCCAATAATAATTGGCCCCTTTACCTCTTAAGCCTGCTCATGTAAAATATTTAGGCTCCTTACTTCGCCTATTTATATTCTATTAATAAAGGATAGAAGGATGAGTATTACAACTATTTTAAAAGAAATAAATTGGCTTTTAGTTCAGAATTATGTTCAGTACATGACTGATATTTATTTATAAAATAAAAATGACATAGTACCATCGCATCAGATCTATTAGAAAAAATTCAATATAATTCGTAATATCACTACTATAATACAAGAAGCCAATCTGACTTTCATGTACGGCAAGTCATCACTAGAAGTTCCCAAAATACAATTTTTATTAAAGGTTTAAAAAATTTAATAGACTGCCTACAGAAATTAAAAAAAAAAAACAATAAATGTATTCAAAAGTAACCTCAAACAATACTTGATAAATAAACAGAACGGATATACTTTCTTGTGATAATACTTTTTAAACCTGCCCTTTTTAAGTATTTCCCTTAATTTATTATTACCTCTCGTTTTACCCGCATTTACTTGATGTTATATTAATACTACTTACTAAGTTTAAATTATTAATATTTTTGCGACGATAGGTTATAGCAACTTATAGCCACAAAACTATTTTTGTGTTAAAGTAGATCTATAGAGAATAATGTAATTTACAAAGGCCTTCTTTCAACATACAAATAAATGACAACTTTATAATTCAAATAAAAAAACACAACAAAATACCTCGGTATCATAATATTGATCAAAATTTGAAATGGGTTGATCACATTACGTCATTAAAATCCCAAGACAAGAAAATTCGTTTTTAAATTTTATGAATTAAGGAAATTTATGACTAGGAGTTTACTAATTATTATTTACAATTCGCTGGTTGAATATATAATCCAAAATCGTATAATTAAAATTGTCTACAAATAAAAAACCAGCATAATATTTATAGAGGTTGTTTCATTGGTAAAGGGACTCCCTTTAACCATGGATGGAGACCACCGAGGTGCTTCCAAATAACCCATACTTAATGGGTCTTTCGACC